TAATGTTCTTAAAGATAAACCCCCAAAACACAATAAAAATCTTAAAATATTAAATCACTAATTCGATTTGATAAGAGGTGTGTAGAGTAGTATTACACTAATAAGGTAGTGGGTTCCGATAAATAGTGCCTGACAGAGATCATCAACTACCAGATGCGTAAATTCCTATCTCATACTAAAACATGGACGATGTAACAGTTTCATCAAACTAAAATCACGCAGCGTAAACAAATACGATAGATGATTAAAAAGTAAATAAAAAAAATTGCAATTAAAAAACATACCATTAGAATTAAATACTTCACCGATATGACAGAGACAGAGACATAGCGAATTATGACGTCACAATTCGACATGTCATAATATTACACGGTGCCGCGCAAAACTAAAGAGCCCCCCACTAAAGTATTTTAACAAATCATAATTGTAAATTAGTGTCTTCTGTGTTATTTATTCGTGTTGTTTACGCAACTAAATTATCGATTTAACACCATATCAGTGTATGCAAATCTGTCGAGTTACTGTCCTCGATATACAATAAACCTTAATTCCTTAATAAATAAATTCAAAATCGATACTCACATAAAAAAATAGCAAAAAAAAAGACATTTCAATATTGTGTATTTCATTAAACATAATTCAAGTATCAGTGACCGAGGCAAGGTTCTGATAGTGGCATTATAAATACAAATCCCCTTACATCGTAGCGTGAACATATCATATTATTCGTTATTATTTAACGAATAGTGAAAGGAGATCACCACGTGACACAAATCACATATAAAAAAAAATATTACGCGATTCAAACACAAGCACTAACTATAAACTAACCCAAAGAAAAACACGCAATATATTAAACTAGTCTTTCAAATATAATCAATCATATAAACGGGATGTTAAACCAAAACATATTTTAAACATTAATCCATGAATATAATTAAGTCCAAATTTAATTCAGAAATCCAGTCAATTGTAGCAACCTAATTTACTAACCTGATGTACATAAGAATTCTAATCTACACCGCGCTATACCAAATCGAGCGACACGTAATGGATTGAAGAAAAAAAACATCGAAACTAATTACAAGGTCCATGAATGCAACGTGTATATTACGAATATCAGGCTGACATTTGTTTACAAACATCATGATTACTTTAAAAAAGGTTTCACATCTCTGCAACCTATTTTGAATACTATTTTTCTTTAATCTATCTATAACCTTCACGCCGTATCCTTCGTGAGGTAGGATTTATTATTGCCTGACGAAATGGAAATATTGAATGAATGAAACAGAAAATGCGATTGTTGATAATTTTTTTGACAACTAAACTAAATTGACAACTTTTAAAACTATGTGTATAATAATTATTAGAGTTTAAATTACAGTTTTGTAGCCATCGTTGATATTTTGAGTTATTATGGATATTAAATAAAACAAATGCCATTTGATTATTCGCAATATACACTTATTTTCAATATGCGGCATACAATTTTGTTTCTGTGAAGTTAGTTAAGTCAAGCCACGCAGTTCCCATCCGCCCTCAAAACACTTGAAACTTTTAAATACCGTGTTCTCGACGCTACTCGTTACTAACTTCACAGCCACAAAGTTATTTACCTCTCATTGTACATCGACGCCGCGATAGAATGGCAAAACTCAAAAAAATATATATATATTATATATTTAACGAACTCTACCAAAAAAAAAAACACTACAACCGCAGAGTAAATTAAAAGTACGTTATTGTCAAGCAGCAAACTAGTGAAACTAGATTATGAAATTAACATTACAAATTCTCGTGTCGTAACACGATTAAAATTATATGCATGTATCGAAAGAATGTCCTAAATATTATAATCAAATTGACAACAAAAAAAAAAAGGTAATGATTAACACATTCATAAATTAAAGCACTTAATAGCTAAAAATACGTAACTGATAAGCATTCTATTTAATGTATCACGATGGTATCTTACTATAAGCAGCGTATTCAAGCCGCTGGATGCGCTAATTTATAAAATGACTATTATAGTTGTACGATTCAACTTACATTAATACTTTATATAATATATACATACAGGAAAGGCAATGCGATGCGTGTAGTAGCATACCGATTGGGACTGTTATCATCTGCCTGTCCTAATTAAACCCGAAACTAGAAAGTTTGTGTCATAGACTAATCGCGTGGCGCAACTTAAAATTTCCATTCGATCCATTTTAAGTACTTTCGTGGTACTTATAATTTTCATAAGTGAGATGTTGTGATTTTTTTACTATAAATAAAAGGCAGATGTTAACACTGTGAGAATTCAATTTATTTATATAATAATCACCGGTCCAATGATGATGTGAACATGATAAGAGGCGGCCTTTGAAATAATTGTGGTCTGCCAAACGGCATTTTGTTTATTTAATCAATTAAAGTTACAATGCGAAACCGATATTCGCCCGCGAGTCTAAACTCAACTGGAGCCGGCTAAAATTAGAATTAGCTCCCCACTAAACTAACTAAAAAAATAATAATAAACTAAAACGCTTTCGGTCGATAATTAATTGCATTAAACCTTTGTATTAAGAACATTTTAGCGTTTATATTTTTTAATTTAAATTACAATTTCGCTCTAACTATCGTGATTATACATGCATTATTACAGTCGTAAACTATTAGTGTGTACTAAAACGTTTATAAAATCCTTAGATATCTTTTTTTTTAGTATTTCCTCGTTTAGTATATACCTCGAAACTACGATTATACAAGTAATCCCTCACCGCGCCCTACACACGTAATTATCTATATAATATATAAAATTCCCCGTTAATTAATGTTAAACACAGCATAAAACGTTCTGTATGCCCGCCCGCTATAACGAGGTGAACGCAGCCTACACGGAACGCAACAAACACATAATAATCCTTAACATCTAATGCATACAATACATTGCGCACTAATTAAATAAAAATAATTATAATTGACAAAATCACCATCGTGTAACAACTAAAAAATCATATTTTATTATATACTTGCGATACTCAAACAACAAAATTGTCGAAATCATAAATCAGTTCATTCGACATAAGGTCGTGTTAGCTACGAACATTATGTTACCCAATTTTAATAATAATTTGGTACAAACACTAATGTCTACGATAACATATTAGTAAATGCAACCTACACACATTGTTTTACAGTAAAAAATATGAATTAAAAAAAAATAACGCGAAATGTACAATCCATTTTATACAATTTATATAAAACAATATACGCTATTAGTAAGAAATTAATTATAACACAATCAGTAGTAAACAGACGCACTATTGCTGCGTAACTAAATAATTAACTTAGTAAAAAGTCAATAATAAATGATTACACAATATACTGTTTAAGTTTAATATCGATCCACACACATAATACACGACAAATATGCACTGTATGTCGTGTTTAATTTTTGAAATAATTGAAACATTAAAAATCCGTAATAAGATACTTTATGTTTGTACAGGTAAGGACGATTTTTATCTATAAATACAAGAGTTGCTTGATTCATCAAACGGCATTTTCATGAGGAACTTTTTATATATTACACAAACGCATATACACACACTAGTCCAAGATTTTAATAAAAAATTGCAGTGTGAGAGAATTATCGAATACATATGCCGTTCCTTACTAAGCCTGGCACCCTCCTGGCCTGGAAGTAATAATGCGGGGTTATTTATAGTCCGATTAATTAATAATTAAAAAATAAACCCCCATTCGTCTCGTTGTGCCACAAAGAGGGTACCGTTACATACAAAACACAACAACCTATACAAACTAAAAAAAACACCACGCCATTTTATTATCAACTATACAAAGACTGCGATTTTTAAAATTGATCAAATAAACAACTTAAACATAGTAAGTAGTGGAAAATAATGTAAAGGCAAATTATTAAAAAAGGTGTTAGTTAAAATTATATTATTTTTACATAAAACACAGTACTTTGAATTAAAAGGTACTTATGAATATTTCGTTATAATAATTAGACAGTTTTTTTTTAAATTGTGTAACACAGTTTTTCATAGATAAAAGCTGACTTTATTTCAATTGTCTTTACATTATTAATTAACACGTTTAACATCAACTCATTGCACACATAAATACTACTACGCTAGAGACACTGAAACTATTTTAAATCAATATCAAAACTTTGCATGTGGCTATCCGTTAGAAGTTTGAACACAGGTGTCACAATTTTAAATGTACATTTAGATAGCATGATTAAAAATTAATTTCTAGACACTAAAAAGTGACACACTGTAAATATAAAAACATTTAACGGATGGCACTGCTCAATTTTGTACATCAGCCACGGCAAGGGAACATTCTTTAGAATAATTTGGTTATTCTGATTATCAAATCATCGTTTAATACATAACTAGAGTTCATTCTACGTATAGAATATATTATATTGGTACAATCTACTATAATCATAGCGATATTAATCAAGTTAATCTACAATAATAATATGATATTCTCTTCTTCCAATTAATTTCGTAACACGATTTGGTTTATTCCCACTAGTTTTACTGCTCAGTTGTAGAATTTGTTTTTTTTTTATTCTCCTACAATACAGTTGGAATCAAATATTAATGCATGAAGAATGAGACTTGACTAAATCTCATCGCAATCGGAATATTACCTATCAAATGAACATTATTTAAAAAGACAAATTAACACACATGAACAATATAATGTTAATTTAACATCAATGAAATTACAATTTGAAATATTTACGAAACATCTACAATGCTAGCAGTCAAAATAAAAAATGATTCACGAAATATTCTCACCATAATATGTAGTTGCTATTTAATTCGCTTAACAATAGATTTAGTAAAAGCACAACTAGTGGGAAAAAAGACAAATGAAGAACAACGTTCTACCATAAACAAATTCGGTCAGATACAAGTCGCCATATGAACGGTCCCTCACCATAGCATCGGTTCTAGTTCCGCTCAGTCCGTATACCACAGATGCTGCTGATGCTGCGCAGGGTGGGCAGGATGAGCGGGGTGTGCGGGGTGGGCAGGGTGCGCGGGATGGGCGGGATGCGCGGGGTGGGCGGGATGTGCGGGATGCACGAGGAACGTGGGCGAGTACGGCTGCAGGTAGCCGGGCAGTCGAGCACCGCTCGCGTGATGAGCAGGCGGTGGACCGGCCACTCCGCCCACGCCGCCGCTGTAAACCGAAGACGAACAAATGCTTATTTGTTATATAAGCGTGCTCAAAATTTGAATCCTGAACGTTAGCGAGGGAATCAATAGAGCAACAAAATAATAAAATGCAAAGACAACATTTGCAATATGTACTTTTTTACAGTTTAGGTATTAACTACTACGTTATAGTTTCAGTCAATTCTTTTGGCGTCAAATAAACTTCTTCGTAGCTATAATCAGTCATTTTGAATAGACTTTTCACTGTATTTGTTTTCAAGTATTTGTTTTTAACCTAAGGTTTAACAATAAGACGTGAAAAGAATCCGGCACGCGCAAAGCAACTTAAAACAAAAATAACTACAAGAAAGTTCCAAGTCTGAATTTTTAACAAATTATTGTGTCTTATAAATCACTTTGAATTTAATATTGCTGTTTCCCTTACTCGAAAGCCTTTAGTACTTCGAGTTATCAATTTAACAACAAAACTGCTACATAAAAACATTATGTTAACGAGCCTCAAATGAAATGATCTCTTATCTCAATTGAATTTGAATTTCTAATAGAAACAAATATTTCCAGTTTATTAATCTAACAACTGTAACATAAACGTAAACTTGCTATTTTTGTGTATAACTTTAAAAAATATTTAACACTCACGTGTGGTAATGATAAGTGGGCACGTATAATGGCGGCGGCAAATAGCCGGGTGATACGCCGCCACCGGGCGACAAAACGCCACCGCTTCCCGTCCTGTAATTAACACAAACCATGTAATAATGCTCTGTGACAGCTACTTTTAATCGCATATTCAAAATCTGTTTAGCAAAGACTACACAAACCATGTAATAATGCTCTGTGACAGCTACTTTTAATCGCATATTCAAAATCTGTTTAGCAAAGATTACACAAACCATGTAATAATGCTCTGTGACAGCTACTTTTAATCGCATATTCAAAATCTGTTTAGCAAAGATTACACAAACCATGTAATAATGCTCTGTGACAGCTACTTTTAATCGCATATTCAAAATCTGTTTAGCAAAGATTACACAAACCATGTAATAATGCTCTGTGACAGCTACTTTTAATCGCATATTCAAAATCTGTTTAGCAAAGATTACACAAACCATGTAATAATGCTCTGTGACAGCTACTTTTAATCGCATATTCAAAATCTGTTTAGCAAAGATTATCGTCAAAGGAGTGGATTAAAGCGATTTTTTTTTGGGTGAAAACAATAAATTACGTCACAGGAATGTCATGATTTTTAAAAGCTTTGTTTCGATTGTAGTGTCGTGACATAAGACGACGCCACGCTCGTGCGCCCTGTATGTATGTACATACATATAGTGGTACTGGTCTAAGAGGTCGTGAAAACATTCTTGATATTTCAGTATGTTCAGTGTGCGGATGTCAGGTGACTTTTGCAACAAATTCTAGATACGTGCTGAATCACCGCGTCCCACGACTGTTTGTGATTTGAGTATTTTTATTTTCTTATATTACTTAATAATGGCTCAGATTCCAATGTGAGAAATTACAACACCCAGACAATATAGAAAAGTTAATTGACACGACCGTGAATCTAGCGTGGGACCTCGGAGATGGCGGCAATTTGAATTACCACTAGTCACTCGGCTAACATGATCGGTATACTCACTTATAGTGGGTGTGTGGGTGGTGGTGCCACGCGTGCGCGGGGTGCTTGTGAGCGGCGGGGGGGCCCACTGTCCCACTCACGGACCCCACCGCGCCCACCCCCGGCCCCGATACCACCCCGCCAGACATGTACTCACGGCAACCGCCGCTCTGTAACAACCACATATAAATAAATATCAAGGCTCCTATCCTATATACCTACCTAAGTAGAAAGGTTTAAAATTTTGGCCATTGACTTTATGATGGTATTATTTACTCATTTTTCTAAGCTAATATTATAAAGGGGTAAACAAAATTACTTGTTTGTTAGTTTCTATTTATTGATATTCTGAACCGATCATGAAAATTCTTTCACCTGAGTGAAGATACTTCATACGCGGGTGACAGGTTATAAAATAAGCGGGCAAAGTTGCAGGACAAGAGTAATAAAATAAATGCACTAAAAAAAACAAACTTTAACTGTCATAAATACATATAGAACACTTTCAAACTTATAAGGCCTTATGAATGCTATTTCATACAAAATAGCAGAAAACTTCATTAATGTCGAATAGGTATAATGCGCAAAAGCATTGAAACATAAATAAAAAGTATAGTTATTATAGAAAACATTATAACCTTCAGATTTTACTTTTAAAACTTTAAGGCTTCGTGCTATTAATGTCACACACACAAAGTGACACTTATAAAGTGACAGAGGTTCGCTGTGAATGGATTTTGTTCATACTCTCTTGTAAATATTCTAAACCTGAGGGAATTTACTAGGGCTTTGGAAATCATGAAAACAACGCGGACAAAGCCGCAGGCGATAAACTAACTAATCGTATAAGGCAAAAAATTCGCGAAAACAAATTTATTGTCTGTTAGCATTGATTAGGCTTCTAAAGCACTGGACCGATTTTAAAAATCCTTCACCTCAGGGAAACTACATCATACGCGGGTGTATACAAATACATAGGCGGGCAAAGTCGAGGGAAAGCAACTAGTATTATATAACAATGTAAACTCACGCTATCCCTTTTGTTGTGTTGCGCGGGCACGTACTGATTACACTGGTACTCGTTCGACTGACGCACGCTCGCGCCGCTCTGTAACCAAAATTATTTTTATTAAAAATAATTAATATACTGTGGCTTTTAATTAATTGGAAACAGACAGACCAATTCAAGTTCTGTTGCGAAATTGTAATGATGAGTACCTATACTGTACTGAATTGATATAACCTTATACATTGTGTTTTGTTTTAATATTTTCGAGAATTTGTTCTAAATGTACATATATGTACGTAAACCGTGTAAGAGTATTTTTATATTGCCTAGATTTGTCGGTCATCTTCGAATATACGAAGCTTTTTATCTCGAATATTCGAATTCGAATCATAGAATATAATTATTTCTCTCGGAGGACTGTAAGAGTTGTATATAAGTATGTATGTATATACTAGCTTTTCCGCGCGTTGTCTTGTATTATATATAAACCTGCCTCGTGATTCACTCTATTTATACCTTGTGTAGTTTATAAGATCTAAGCTACTTTATTTTATTTCTATTTATTAAGGAAAACAAACAGTCGTTTTTAATTTATATACCATCAAACCTTACAAAACTAATAGACTCATTAATTCCACTACTAAATACTAACAAAATTTATTTAGTTGCTAACTATTAACAGTGATGATGCCATCAAATTTACTTAACCTACACATGAAACAAATAGCTTCACTATGATAATTTCGAAATTCACTTTGATTATTCAATTGAAATTTCCCACTTGGATAAAATGTCAACGTCATTCAAATTGTCATTGTAAAATCTACAGGAGCATCTTATAAAAGTATTCCTGGCGTAATTTGTGGCAGTATGTTTAATATTATGTATAAGAGTGTCTATGTACGTATATGTATGTATGTAATGTATATTATACCACTGTGTGATGTGGCGGCGGGTCAGCGTGCGGCTCTCGTTTAGCCTGAGCTTCCTGTTGAGCGAGCGCAAGTAATCGCTTCTTCTGACTCTGCGGCGTCGCCTGCGGCTGAACGGGCGCACGTGCTTGCTGTTGTTGCTGTTGCTGTTGTTGTTGTTGCTGTTGTTGTTGCTGTTGCTGTTGTTGTTGTTGCTGCTGAGTCTGTTGTTGTTGCGGAGTCTGTTGTTGATGCTGTGGCTAGAAATGAAACCATATGTTAGACACAAATGTTGGCACCATTTTAAAAAATATATTCATATAATTGTAACAAGAAAGTATTTTTACTCAACTCACATTCAGTTTGTAACTTACAAATACAACTTTATTGCTATTTGATAAATATTGCACTCGAAGTTATATTTGTATGGAAAATATTAAAGTCGTCAGTATCTTCCCGACATCAGATGGGGTGACTTTTTATATAACTATTTTATAAATATATTGCATTATAAATAATATATAGTACTTAAAATAAACAAGAAACAATACCTTTACATAAATAACATAACAGACAAACAACATAATTTCGCATAGCGGAGAAACAAATAAAAATCTTCAAAAATTTATGTCATACAATATACTATGTATTTTCTAAAGCATTTAGCTGACGAAAATAAATAATATTAATATTAATCATTAAAACCATAACATTAATGTAACAAGCCAATTAAAAAAAAATGTTTTATTTGAAATGGTGATAACACTATCTGACATGATATGAAGTTGTGATGTAATGAATATTCGCATTGCAATATTTTCAAACACTTGCATTCGCAAAAACTCGCATAAAACTTAGATTTTTTTTTTTCCTTAATCTATAGAACTAAAACTAAATAAATAACAAAACTAAGCATAAACTCAAGATAACTGACAGACACTACGTAATTTTGCATATTTTTGTTTACTTTTAGGTAATCTAACTCTTGTCAAAAAACTTTGTTTTCGTAGACGATGTTCTCGTATTATAAGTTTTACGAACAGGAAGATAAAGATAAAATTGACTAGGTGCATATGTGCGAGCGAAATAGCGATATGATTGCGCACGATTGAACAAAGATGTGTAATGCTAAAATTCCCTCTGTTCTGCGTCAGACTATGTAAGCAAGATATGATGCAGTAACGCATATTTTTAAATATTAACATTCGCAATTTTTAAAGTTAGATAAAATAATCTCCTTGTTCGAAATCAAAATAATAAGTCATAGGCAATTGACGCCAAATTAAATAAAGAAACTGAAAATTCGCTTTCGCAATCTTAAAACTATTAACAAACAAAAGTTTCAAGAAACTACGCCATGGGTTTATAAATTTATAGCGCGAGACTATAAATAGCCAAGAACCGACAAGAAACTCTCGTTCATCCCTGTTTTATTTCATACGGAGTCGTCACACTGAAAAATTACTCCAAGGACACAGTTGCTAATAAAACTTAATATAAAACAATCAGATTAAATGAAAATTCAATGTAGATAATTTCGATAACAATTTAGATTGCGATCGGTATTTTGTTATTACTTTATAGAAAGCTGCTACGAAATTCTATAAAGAATGTAAGAATTATAGTAGTTCTTTTAACACGTGGTTAGAATCAGATCAGCATACAACTGACGTGGATTATTGATATACCAGTTCAGAAAGCTAAATTTCAAAGCGCGACCAATCGGAATGATTTATATGTCGCCCAGAATATTTTTTATTTTATTTATTTATTTTATTTCTTCCACAAAATGCACAAAATTAATTTACGTTCACAGATTTTTCTAATTTTTATTAACAATTTATTTGTGGGAGACTGCTGCCCAAGCTAAGCATTAGAATTGCCTGTAATTGAGGCCAGCAGGCTCACAACCTCTTAGAATATGGATCATCAATACTGATAGTGTTTTACCTGGTGGTGTAAGGGACAGGGCTCGTGCTTCACGTGCTTGTCGCTCGGCGAGCGAGCGCTGCAGATGACCGCCGCCGGTACTGAGGGCGCAGTCGTCACCTGTACTTGACCACATTCACCTGCAAGATCGTGTCACGTATTCAGTATATTTTCAACATCAAAATAAATAATATATCTTCATACTACATCTACTCGAGAAAGTACTCGATATGACCTAATAAAATTGCACAGTAATTTTGCTTCAAAAACAGATTGCTAGTTTTGTATTAAGTTTTGTATTATATTAACTATTATTCCCTGTTTTGTCATGTAGTTTTTTTTTTATTCGAACTTTATCCCACACTTTATTGCAATCAAAATTGTATGCATAACAGGAAACACTGTTTCGAATAGAGAAATTATTATTATTTATTTTTTTTAATAATCCATTTATTTAGACTATATAACATCACGCTGACTAATAGGATTACAGTAGCAATGAAAACTATCGCGAAAATTGAAATAGCATGCCAGCGAAACCTCTGGCGGAAAACTAGTATTAAATGTATGAAAATCGAAGGTAAGCCGAGCTTATCTCTTCCAACCAAAAAGGTGGGTGCTGAAAAACAAGTTATGTACGAGTAAAACGTGAGATATAACACGAATTCTAATGATGATGCTTTTGACGAAAAATATACAATACCTCTGTTGTTGTGTTGTTGTTGCTGCTGCTGCTGATGTTGCTGCTGATGTTGTTGCTGTTGTTGCTGATGTTGTTGCTGATGTTGTTGCTGTTGTTGTTGTTGCTGCCTAGGTTGATCAGCGTCATCGTCAGAGTCTGATATAGTGATGACGGAGACGGCGGGCGAGGGCGTATCGCGGATGGTGATAGTGTGCGAGGCACCGCAGTTGTTGCCGCCGCCGCTGCCGCCGGCCACCACGCCCGCGTTCGTATCCCAACCGTTGTTCGAGCTCACTATTCGTCCGTTCCTAATATGTACGTAACATGCGTTAATCAATAGGGTCGTGGTGTCCTACGAGTTAAAATACAAATTTCTGTTGTATTTGGAAAATATTGAAAATACTGTGAAAACGTGAAAAAAAAAGTGTGGTCTCACACTTTGAATATGTGAATATTTATATTAACACATTTTTTTATATCTGGAACAGTAAACGAAATATATGTGTATTGACAAAGGTCAGTCAACCTCCAAACGTTACCCGGGTACAGGATGGTATCATAAGTAAGGGGGGAAACGTGACATTTTAATAAGTGTACTGATAACAAATGTTTTTTGTATAAATAATAATTAATGCATAAATATATTGAAAAACTTGATAACGCATCAGTCTGGCTAATTTCATTAAACAACAGTCAGTAACCTGGTAACGGATAAAACCAAAATATTAAACCACTCTAAGATAATTTAATAATAGCATTAACTCACGATTGGTCATGCTGCCTGTGCCTCGAAGGAGGTGTTCCTTCTTTGACTCGTTTCTTAACAGGTGAGAGTTGAGTCGGCTCCTTCTTACCGCTGTTACTCGCCATACTACTGCAGAAAACAAATGTTTATTTTAAATTACTATAAAACTACGTACTAATAAAATAATTTTCAAACATTAATTATATTAATTAGTATAACTCAGATCCCAAGTTGCTTGTTTTGTGAAAATCTAAAAACGACGATGATAACACAACAACAGACTCGAGACGAAATGAAAAAGCTCATAATTTATAATAAACCGCCGGGATTCCAACCCGGGACACTAAAGCTTGCGACACCATCAAACCGGCATGCGACACACTCGGTCTTGGAGCTAAGCAAACGGTGATTACGTTACTTTTAAATTGAAAAATTAATTAAATTGAAAAAGCAATTTTATATATTCATCACTAGCAGCTTTCTTTACTATATCTACAAAAAAAAAATATGGGAAAAGATGAAAAAATGAAGTGTACAAAGCGAGGATAAATCCTACCAAAATATTATTTCTTGACAAATTTCTTCCCTAATACGCTTCAAATAATTTTTTATTGTTAATAATTATAACAATAGTATAATAGGTCACGAGTAAGTAATAGAAGATTACTTTGTTTATTTTTTACAAAAATGGACACAGGAAAATTTTATTTAATAACCTTGCCACATTAGACCAGTTGCTAATATCTACGAATGCATTGCATTCCGCATGGTGACGTCAATGTAAATATATATATATATATATATATATATACCAAATATTGCTCCTTTCAGTACATATATTTGCTTACATATACTATATATTCGAAATCAATTTTATAACTCAACAAAATATCAATACATCGTCGTCTAAAACCGGCAGAAATTCTAATTAATACTGAAAATATTCTATCCAATATTATTGTGTCTAATATTTGTAATATTAGATATTAGCATATTTGGAAGAAACAATTTCCTTTACAAAAAGTAAAATAAGAGATACCACAAAAGCGATTATTAACAAAAAGGATGATATTGTGTTAGATACAACTAATTTTAGTAAGATTGTAAACTACTAACGTCTAAAGACATAGGTACTTTATGATATGTGAGGTTAAGGTTTAAAATTCAACGGCACCTGTATTGATGCGTTTGGTGGTGAGGCTGATAGTGCGGCACAGCGCCAGCCTGCTGCTTGGTCGATCTGTTGACAACTCTAGCGCTTTAATATTGAACTAAAAATGTGACTCCAAACTAACTATGAACTTAATGAAATGTAAGTATTTATTTTATTAAATAATACTTATTTATTTAGACTATCTAAAATAAGATTCGAGTGCCACAATAGAAAATATCTATAGAATTTCATCAGTTTACCGCAATGAAGAAATCTGTATTGTTATGATAACATATGCCTATATAATTTTTACTATATTTCGTAAAAACTTATAAGATATACAAGTCTTGTCGCTGCTATGTGATATGGGTAATTATTATATAAACATTGAAAATTAAATACAAGCTTGATAATACGTATCATTCCTGATTGACGCAGCTCCGGCTCGATACAACGCCTATTTCAACCCGCGTTCACCTAGCGATTGCCCTATTCAGACGTACCAGTTATCCGAGTTGTAGTATATAACACTGTAGTAGTATTTTATTGTGTACTAACCTCTTGTGGGTGTGGTGGTGATGGTGCGGATGGAACGCGTCCCAAACGTCAGGTTCAGGCAGAGGCGCGGGTTCAACGATGAGGGGGGCACGCCACTCGCCCACGCCCACACCCACGCCCACGCCGTGCTCGGGCACACCCACGCCGCTCACGCCCACTCCGCCCACGCCATGCTGGTGATGTGCAGCCGCAGCTGCCGCGGCAGCCGCTGCCAACTGCTGCACCTATCACAAAAAACACAATGTTTGAAAATTTTTAATTAAGTCATTTTTTTATTGTTGACGCAGGTCAAATACTTTTCTTGTCTCAAATCTAATTTCTAGAGCCATTAGAACCTGCCTCGAGGAGGGGCGAGAAGAAAGCAATAAATCCCGCAGCGGATACATTATTTATTAAATATTGTTTTTTTTTTTTATTATGTATAGAAATAAAGAAAATAAAAACATATTCTCTCTTCTTTCTACACAACGTGTACAAATTTAACTAAGCATTAGTTGACGAAAATAACTACGTATTCAACAACAGAAATTCAAAAACAACAGTTTGTTTGAAATACTCCTGTGTTTGGTTGTTGGTTTCTTCGTAATCCAAAAGTAATACAAAAAGTGACGAGCATTCTAAAAATTCGAATTATAATCTAGTAAAAAATATGTTAGAGTATCTGTTACGCATTCTCCAGTCTTTGCCAGAAAATCGACGCAGTTCAATGCATGAGAAAGAAAGACACGGGCTAGTTTTTTGTCGAAAATATCAAATAACACATTTATGAAAACGCAGGTAATAACAATACAAATATTTTCATGTTAAAAACATATTGTTGATGAGATGTTTATGTGAATAAGTATAATAACCTGATAGGCAGGCTGGCAAAGTATCGACGAGACGAATTGATGCGGGAACGGTTCAGCGGCTCGCGTGGCGTACTGACGACCGCCGCCCACAGCCACGCGACCGCCTTGATATAACTGATACTGGACATCAAACAAATATAAAATATTAATTAATATACACATTTACATGACATCACATATATTACTCAGGTTCCGTGAAAATAGATCAAAGTACTGAAGCATTTGAAACAACCAAGGAAACACTTCTAGATTTCGGGACGATAGAAAAAAATATAGTTTTACTACATTGTTACTGACCGGGAATCGAACCCAGAGCCTCAGAGGTGACGACACCATGAAATTGGCATGCGAACCGCTCGGCTTCGGGGTGAACTCAGTGACGTACAACGCTTTATACACCATCACTTTAGATGGGTAAAGTGTTTAAACCGGTGGGTACATAGGGAAAACCCCAGGCATTTTGGGAATAAATCTTATTTGCCCGATAAATGCCCGATACCCGAAAAGACATTTAATAATTAAAAACTAAAGCAATGATTTAATTATTAATATTGAATTATTTAAATGAAATTAATATTTTGTTTTTGATTATTATGATGTAAATAAGGTCGTAAACAATTTATACTTATAGAAGAACTTATTCTGATTAATTGACTAATTCATCCTCGCCAAACGTAAGCTATTGAAGTTTGACCCATGATCTTTGGTCAGTAGAGTCATTTTGTAATGTTTATATACACAAAGGGAGGATTTTAGGAAATTAATTCCTTAAGGGCGTGACAACATTGGCTAGATGCATCTGTGCGACCGCAATAGTATAATATGTTTGCGCACGAGTGAATGCGGGGTCATTGTACAAAATTCTCTCTTATCTAGTCTTATGTAGTTTACGAACGAACTGGTTAGACGAACGAATTTCCTGTTTCGTAGTTCGTTACTTCATGACAGAAAGTCAACCGTACTAATGTCGTCTCGTTAAAAATATAAAGGCTAAAAATATGAGTTCATATGCTTATTTGTGTTATTTTTGTGTCCAAAATATTTATGTAAATTTACAAGACTACTACTCTATTCGGCGACCGTTCTATAATATAGTGTGTATTTGTGTACTAACCAAATTGTCGTAGGGCGCGGCCCGCAACCGTTGCTGGTTGATGGTGAGAGCGAGATGGTGAGCGGAGGGAGGTGCGGGAGCGACCACGCCGCCCACGCTTCCCACGCCGCCCACGTACTCCGTGCCGCCCACACCACCCACGCCGCCTACGCCACCCACGCCACCGCCAGAACGACGGCAAACCTGACCACCATACATCCAAGTGATAAACGGATCTTGACACGTATCATCTCTATCAGCTCTATTCATCACTATCCGTTATTTAAGAAGCTATTCAGATTCATATGGAACTGCGACGTAAAAGATCTGTCGTGATTCGCCAGCAGAATTACAGTTACCTATTCAGCCAGGCTGATTAAGTGTCGTCATAGATGTACGCTTCATTTTGTCCATATTGATGTATGATCCGATTTGAATGAACTGGTTTATTTATTTTATTACTATATACACTTAATACAAAGGCACAAATTCTTACGAAAAATCAAACAAATATTGTCACATTGAAAAGTAATCCTCTTAACGTTCACTTAGTAGTTCGACATTAGAGCCTTCATAATTTAGTTGTACGTATGAATATAGGTAATTTACACACTTACCTCCATCATTTGGACGGAAGCTTTGACGTTGTTGCAATGTGCATAGTCGACCAAGTGCGCGAGTGTCACAAAAGCGTGGTTCAAAGCCTCGCCTGGAGTGATTCTTCTTTCCTATATGTCAGAAACGCATAATTATATTTTTTCTAATTAAACAAGGATTTTGTTAAATTATCAATGTCGAAACTAATAATAATATGATACCTGGTCCATTGTAAGCATCCTCTTTAGTAGATCAATAAATTCCCTTCTGTCCGCTTTCTCTGCTAACAACTGGCCACCTTCAAGATCCGTTGGTACATTAACCTGCAAATGTATTAATATTTTGTAAAAAAAATATATTTTTCTAATAATTATCATCTCTGCAACTTACCACATCAATGTATCTTTTTAAAGGCTAACATTATCATTTTAATTTGCCATATTAAATGGAGATTTTCCAAGCCGTATTTTAAGTACTATGGATCCATCTGAATTATAAAAATCGGTCATGGATATGAAATAATAATGAGGACTGAATAAGCTTGAATTTGGGGTTATAGAAAAGAAAGCTAAAAGTACATGTCAAGTAACTTTCACAAAGACCAGTCGTCAGGTTTATTATTATAAGTTCCACTACACTTCGGAATGTTCGTTAAACCATAGGTGGCGGTTATATCCACAAAATCCGCATTGGGCCCGCGTGACGATATTAAGGCTCGCTCTGTTCTCGCCATTAGGAAAGCCTGTATCCTATCATATGGGACGTTAATAATAATGAATGTATACCTGTCCGATGTCGTCGAGGCAATTGAAGATGTACTTCCTCGCCTCCTTACTCTTGATGCCGGTCTCGAGCTCGTGTTCCTCGGGCGTCTTCAAACGCCAGAACGGATATGTGCTATCTACATCGCGGTAGAAGAACTTAGCCGTTTTACTTGCGCTATAGGAAATAATAAAAGAAAAGGATTCTGTTATAAGTACATAAATAGCGTTATTATTTAATGTAAATAATTTCAGGTAAATTTTTAACACAAACTTTACAAAAGATTTCTTAAATAAAAAAACAATGGCGACAATAATAGTGTACCTGTTGAGCATGTGCTCTGTGGGCAGCCCCTGGGTCTGAGAGATGTACCGGATCTGGTCGTACTCGGATGAGCCCGGGTACAAAGGCCAGCCCAGGAACAGCTCAGCTACCACGCAGCCCAGCGACCACATGTCTATAGCTTCGCAGAACGCGAGGCCCAGGATTATCTCCGGCGCCCTGCGGACGTTAATTTTATACTTGCACCCGATAGTTTTACGAAGAACAAACTGATGAATTCAAGTTGATTGATTTCTTGGATTAGTAATAAATAATCCCGACGTCCATTATGTCAGTTGCCAATGAGCGATTATGACATTTTTGTTGTGCATGAGCATAGTTATAGTCATATTAAAAGTTAAATAAAAAAGGCAAGACTGAACACTAGGTATAATTATGTATGTATTAATTCTAAAGAAGTTTGAAAGTTATCACAAGCTATCACTTGAAATAAACATAAAGAGCTTAAATAAATTAAATGAAAGGTCGCTGTAGACATCATGAATAAATATTCAACACTCAATTGAAAAAACTTTTTATTAATTATCAATTGCAGTAATGGGAAAGGGGTTGTTTGCTGAGTTCTAACTGGACCGGGCACCCGTCATAACCAAAAAATGTAAAACATACTGTGATTACCCAGTATACATGTTAATCGCAGGTGAAGCATATCTCAGTGCAAAAACCACTGATAATTCCTAAATGTAATATTGCATTTGGCGAAATTTTTTTTTTCAACCTATATGTTTTTAGCTCAAAAACAACGAAATCAAATCAGTATATGACTAATCAAGAAATGAATACAATGTAATTAATAAATCCCTCAAATGGCAGTTCATTACCTGTAGTATCTGCTCTGTAGGTATGTGTTACAGACGGCCTTGCTGACGTGCGATGCACTGCCGAAGTCTATCACCTTCACCCTGTACGGTTGCCGCGCCGGCTCCACCAGCATTATGTTCTCTGGTTTCAGATCCGCGTGGATCAAACCCAATTGCTGCAGATATAAGACACCAACATTAGACAGCAACTTTAAATAATACATTAGCTACATTAACACCCAATACGTAATGGGCTAGAATGCTTTTTAATAGAGCTTTTTCTCTGGGGATTGTTCTAGAGAATTTAGATTATGACATATTCTTCCAGAAATATATTATAGAGGAAAGACTTGTAACCTAAGATTAATAGATTCACCCTATCCCCTCCCCATTTCCTTTCCTTCCTTTTTAAACACTTCTACGTCCTCTGCTTTCTTTCTTAGTCTCTTAGCTCTTTCCCTTCTAGGATCAACTCTACGTTTCAAGAGAGATCTTGAACCTACTACATTGGATGGCTGCCCTTCAACTCACACTGATGCTCTCAGTGGAAAGGTCTCACCTACGCAATTGACAAAAATACCGATGCCAATACAAAAACATCGGCAAACAAATAAACTAATCCATTATTGCATCCACAATTCAATCCCAACATGGTTAAGGTAGACACTTACCTTTAGTTTCAGGAGCGCGGTGAGCACCTGCTGCAGTATCGGTCTGATGTACTTGAGAGGCAGTGGTGAGAACTTATTCTGCTTCAGGAAGTCGTAAAGGTTCTGCTCGAGCATCTCGAACACGAGACACGTGTGCGACCGATGCTGGAAGCACTCGTACGCGCGCACGAAATTGAACTCGTCCGCCGACTCTTGAGACAAGCGGGAAAGGATGGACACCTAGACCGGACAACAACCAATGTTTTAATTTCCGAGAATACTGAGATTATTTTTACAAAACCCAATATCAGAAGATACTCTACACTAAAATAATGCACGACACGTGAGTTGAACCAAAATGCCTATGTTTCACTGAGGTACACAGTCATACAGACGTGTTGCTATGGTCATTGCGTTTCACCTCAACTGAGACCCGAAAATGTGCTGCAGCGAATAGTTCAACCTATATGATCGCGCTAGCTGAGTAATTCTGAAAAACTGAAAGATTTCTCTAAAAAATCACAACACATATATAGAATCGCGTAGTCAAAAATTTAAAATGTGTATCATCTATCGTCCAGATAAATAGTAAATCCTTGTTCTTTAAAAAAGCTTTCATAAATCCTAGAATGTCGATACGTGTTATAAAGTCATGTTGGAACGTAAAATTGCAGTTTTTCATTTAACATGAATCAAAGTTAAAAAAACAAAACGTAACAGGTTATAATATATGATGTAGTTTTTACTGAACGCCATGCATGATCGGTACACGTGTGTCATTTAACGGCATGTGTGTTCTGACGTCACGTTTTTATCGTTGCGAATATTTTGTCATTCGTTACCGGTAATAAAATTCTGATTTGACATTCGCGATTTGATGGTCTTTTAGAGGTATTGGTAAGGTAACTGATATATAGATTATTATAATAAAGAGTAAAGATATGATTGTTCTTTTGAGTTTATTTTAAAAAGCGACATCATACTGATGGCGTATTTGTAGTAAATATAAAAGTATGTACTGAAACGATCAATAAGGTATGTTGAAATTACAACAAGACATGATCAAATCATATTTCATAATAATACCTCATTCAAATAACTCAATAAAGAATTATAAAGCTTTATTTGATGACTCACGCAAGTATAAAAAAAAAGATTTCTCAATGCTACAAAACGATGACTATGGCAAAATTGCAAATCAAGATTGGACAGTGATTGTTTAGTTTTACAATGTAGCAAAACACTAAAATTATTACAAGGATATATATCTTGAAAGTGCAAGCAAATATTGAAAATCATAAAAAAGCATAGTATTATTTTTAATTGAAACAATACGGGTTCATATATGTTATTATTGGTGTCTTTATCGATGTGGCGAAAGACAGCCACTCCATTGTGCAAACACAAACATTGCCTAACTGGATCCCGGCCAAACTCACTATAATGGATCGTAGACGCGGACTTCTAGGAAATGGCCGCCAGCCGGTAAATAGGAAAAGTTTTCTGTCACTCCTACCGACGAACTATGCACCTACACATAGCATTACATCTGCTACAAAGGGTCAAATTTCTGCCATCAATTTTGAACTTAACCAATTACAAATTAAAGCTTATAATAGAGTAGAAAAGATATGCCTTTTTGTAGTATTACCTACTTAGCCGTTGAGTTCTATCTGTTACTAGACCACTGCTTCTTAACCTAGGTTTCTAGACCTTTGTGTCACGGTCAATATTATTAGGGAGATCGCGTGTGTTCAATAAATAAATAAGCGCAGTATACAAAATGTCATGATGCTGAAAATAACATATCGGTCGCCGTGTCGGCTGTATAATAAAACTTTCATAAATCTCACAATCATAGATAGGAATGTTTATTGTGGTGAGGAGCTCGCAATATTTTGGCCCATAAAGTTGATTGCAAAACTAAAAAAACTTGAGAAATATCGCAGTAATCAAAATATTCTTATATTGAACGAGAATCTGTTCCCAAGAAAATTAATTAAAGTAAATATTTTGTACGAAATTTATGCTAGGTGAATGGCGAAACAGATTTTATTTAGCAGAGCTAAAATGTCTCATCTTACATTGCCTTTAAAATTGTGATGTTTACATAGATGGAATGTTCAAAAATAAAATGACGACTTAAAGAAGACTTTTTTGTTTCTAACTACCGTATAATTGAAAATCGATAATTATTATTATTTAATGTGCTTCTGAGCTAGGGTTGACATTGTGTAATATATCATTGAAATATATTTCACATATGCGTGGTCCCATATGTTGTATAATTAGCAGCAGTGATAGATATTTTTACCGGAATTATCTGAATTTGTGTTTTTGTTGACTTCAATATTACTTTTCAAAATGGGCGACGTTTTAAATTAATGAATATTTGAAAAATAGTATAGGTATATTTCTTACAAGATATTAACAACGGTTGGCGGTATTTTTTCAGAGCCAGCCCGAACGTCAACAAGGATAAAAATGTTTCTTGTGTTGCACATTTATATTCAAATTAGTTTATAAATTTAAAATCGGGTTCCCGTGCATAATACAAATACTTTAAAATAAATTGTCATTCTTTAAATCCGTGTATTCTAGTTCTATATAAGATATAAAAAATAATCTGTAAACAAACTGTGAAGGGTAAGCTTATTAATGAAGTAATTTTGGGGAACCTTTAAAATTTTTATATTTTAGTTTAATTCATTTGTCACTATTACATAAATGAAACGATTACTCTTTTGTTTACTCTTTACAAATTTTCATTTGTATCCAAGTATACTATACTAATATTATAATGAGGATTAAGTTTTGATTTTATGCATTGAATAACCTCCGAAATTACTGAACCTGTTTTAAAATTCTTTAACCCACGGAAAACTGCATCTACGCTGGTGACACAGGCTATAATCGACGCGGCCGTAGTCGTGCAAAAACAGGTAATATACAATATTATTATTTATAATAAACAAGAAAAAACTGTAACGAAACATTTGCAAAAACAATAACATCGGCTCACGCTCATCGGCTTCGATTAAATGTTTCCATCTTGATCGAAGGTGTACAATAAATATTTACCTCAATTTGCCCTTGACGAGCATAGCTGGGGTGGTTCTTAAGGATCTTGATGGCGACTATTTCATTAGTGCCTTTCTTCCAGCACTTCACCACCTGCCCGAATGTGCCTCGCCCGAGGAACTCCAACACCTCGTACCTGGGAGACATGACAAAAATAGATCATGTTATTGACAGTAATTACTGATTTGAATAAAATAAGGAAATGGTGAATGTACCTAAGAAAGCAGCTTTTAACGTAGATTTTCATGTAAATGAATAAGTTGAGTTAACTATATACTATAAAATTGGTCAACCATTCCCCATAAATACAGCACAATCAATAAATTACACATATTATCTAAAGTTAATATAACTATTATTATTATTATTATATGAAAAAATAAAATCATTATTACTCATCCGTCTAGAAAAAAAAATGTAAAATCTTTGCAAATAAAAGAAATATAATAACATACATAAGCTATTATTCGGCAAGACTTTATGTAGATATCTTTGATATAATAGAATTTTAGGTAAGAGTGCTATTTTCAAGTCGTTGATAAAATAGAATAAAGAGTGCTATTTTCAAGAGCGCTCACCTATTGGACGAGGAGTAGAGCACCTCGTGCTGGACCAGCTGGTAGTCGCCATCGCCCCCGCAGCCGGATCCTGTGGCGATATGCGTTAATAACAACGTAACACCACATCGATGGTAGAAGCGTAGCCCGCACCGCATGTAACACAAACGAACATTTCCTAATTAGTTACACATACTAACATGTACCTATAAAATTATCAAACAAACAGAAACATAGGCAATGAAGCAAAATGCTTGAACACTTGAACTTAAACAGTAAGGTATCTATCTATCTCATCTCAAACATCTTTCTACTTGGTCCGAGTTCACTTTAAGCAGCTTAATGTCAAAACGTATATTTTGGGCTTTGTTTTAAATAAGGATTTGGATAAAACTGTAACCATTAAATTACTTTAAAATTTTAGTAAAATACAGAAACTTTTTTAATTTAACATGCCAGAAGTAATTGTTCAAATCTATGGACAAACAAAAATAATTAACTAATAATTATTAATAAACAATCATAATCACTAAGAAACATCTAATTAAGTAAAAAAATGCATAATTTAAAAAGCCGAAAGATAATAGCTAAAAAAAAATACTACTGACATTTAATAAGTATAAATGGTGTCTCTATCCAAGCTATACTTTAACCTACAACCATGTTGCATGCAACCATTTATTCAGTGAAAGTATAAGCCGTTAGAGAGCACCATAAGAATAGGATACAGATAATGAAATAAATCAAAATAAAATAATGTTTATATTAGAATTTTACTAAATTTTGTTTACACATTTTATTCAACTGGAAAAGAAGCCATTGCGTGTGTATAAAGCGAAGCTGAGGTGCATGAAAGTTCAAACAAACTACAGGTTCGGTATTCGAATGGGCCGGCGTGGGCGGACCTTACGGTTGTTACCTCCTGTTAGATTGGTTGAATTTTGACACATTCCAACGAAAAATATAGTGAACAAAACAATTGTAAATACTATAAACTACTTGTCGGATATATTTTTATGTTTTTCACCTTAGTGACCATCCATAAATAACGTCACACGTTAGGAAGGGTATCGACGAACAGTGACATTAGAACAATATTTAGTAGAATTTGTATAGACAAACATGTGACAGGAGGGGGGCGGGGGTTTTAAAATCATGAATTTTGTGTGACGTAATTTATGGACGGCCCCTAATATAGTAAAAAAAAAGCAGATGTGAAATAACTACGCTAGTGATTTAATGTAACTTAACACTTTGTATTTACAACTGGCATGCTCAGCAAATGTGAGAAATATTACTTTTTCAGGCGTTACTTTACATAGCCTTGATGGATGTAGAGTTTATAGTATGGTGTGCTTTAATACAATACATTGTTATTCGAACTTGCGTTAGTAATTTGTCGTTCATTTTCGGACTGGTAAGAACCGACGTTATTGTCAAAGTATATTAGCAAAACAATGTGGAAGAAGAAACATATTAAATTGATAGCATAAAAACTGCGTTCTAGAAACAGAATCGAAGTAACTGCCGATGGAAATGAGCTGTCAGATACAGTTTTTTTTATCATGATTATAGAGTTGGAGACTTCATGTCGCAGGAGCCACCGTGTTATTGAAGTTTTAATATTATTTAGTATAATAGTTACTTGCAAGTATATTGTAAGTTACTTGAAGTGTAAGTGCCAATCCTATCCAGAAAGGGTATATTTTAAAAATGAGTCTAATACAAGTAACTATACAAGTCTGATATATGTAACAAAAAAAAAGAGCCACCTACGATCAAACGTCTAACCCTAGGAGTTCGCGGACGCTATTATGAGCAACACTGGCCAAAGTAAAGTAAAGTTGGTAAAGGAGCCCAATATGCTATGTGAAAAATATGTATGTTATGTAATCATATAGATTAAGTAAGAGTTTTTTATGTGTATAATATTGTCTAGTGTTATATAATGTGCAGTGTATATAGGAGGTAACAACAAATCGACATTACGTTTGTGGTTACCTTGCGGCTGGGGCGGGTGGTTGGCCCCGCCCGCCGCCAGCTGCTTGCTGTGGGCCGTCGTCGTAGAGGCCTGCGGAGCCGTCTTGTGCCGCGCGCCCGCAGCGCCCGCGCCGCTCGCCTCCTGCCTCCGTCGCTGTTCGCTGCTATCTCCGACACTACAAAACATAACACAACGCAATTAATTTACGACCAGGATACTTATTGTATTTCATTGACAACTAAATTTAGAATAAATTCGATACATTCTCAAAGTTATTTTTGTATAAAATTTATCAGCAGAGACATTATTAAATCCGTTACGTATAATGTACTGTATAAATTGCCAAAAAACAGGTTGAGTCGATTACAACTGCTAAATGCTAAATTTCGTTATCAGCGAAACAAAGTAGGCTCTCAAATTGTATTATATTTATTATAGGGCCCCGATTCTGCTAACTTTATTAGCTATTCATAAAATAGTATCCGCGTCCTTAAATCAATAGTGAAATATACACGTGTATGTAATTCGCAACGCGAAAAAGTTTGTTGGGTACACTCTAAAAAACTTCACTCAAAGTTGGCGAATAAATTAATACTTTTCTTCCTTTTACTTCGCTGAAGATCGTTTAAATAAATTATCAGAAGAAGTATTATTCCAACTGTAAATATTCTACACTTATCTGGCCACAGGTGATAGGTAATTCAAATATAAGAAAATATTCTCATTATCTAATGAAAGGATTAAACATTTATCCAAAATTGTCTTTAATACACCTTTGAAGTATCAAACGAACGAATTAAACCATTAAACGAACGTCATAGGCAGCCTTTAATATTTAAGAGTTCATTTTCATAATTGCGCACACACGAGTTTCTACATACATGGCAATTTTCTGCTTAAACGCCGGCAATGCCGTGTAACCTTAATCCATTAATCTTAATCGCTTCTTGATAGATAAGATACGTTTGTTAAAGTAGGTAAAGGTTCTACGAACTTCGTCATTTAAGGTACCATTAATAAAGCTTTAATACCAATTACTTAATGAGCGTCGCTTTTTAGACACGTGACTTTGATTTTCTTTAATTACTTAAGTATAATTATGATGTAGCATTATCACTAGTGCCTGACACTAACTGAATTTCGGTAACAGTCTCAGTTTCGGCTGAAACTGAAATCGAAATATCCTTACGAGGATCAAGTTCAGTCAGTCTTTATTTTTTACTCGACTGCAAAGGAAGGGTTATGTTTTTTCACGTGTACCTTTTGTGTATGTATTGTTCTTTATTAGTAGAGCTGCTAAACGGATAAACATACTTGAAGTATCGATAGTTCTGTTTCAGCAGTTCAAGTCTCCAAGATAGACGGCGTTAAAGAAAATCATACATGGCGGCCATGCAACGCCATTGTACTATATATTTAAAACATTATTCGATACCCATATTGTTGTAAGGATTTCAAAAAAGTATATATAATTATCATTACCGTAATACTTTTAAATATGGACTTTCTCGCTTTTTCGACCAATCTAATAATATGTTTAATTAACAGGATTTTCCAATTGTTATTTTTTGGGCAGGCGGGTATTTTTATCTTTAAATCACAAATCTATACACTCAACATAACAACCCCTCATTTAAGAAAACAAATTAATTGCGCCTTAAATATACTTAAAATAGGTGAGGTGTCAATCTCATTAGGTAGATTATTCTTTTGAATGGTTATTAAAATACCAAACATAAAATTGCTTATTTGAGTTTAATTACTTATATCACAATAATGGTATTTTATTATTCAAGTAATGAACTCCATTATAACTTATTTCGTCATTTTGTAAACTTGAATGAAACAAACGTTAAAATACTAAATTATGAGCTCATAGTAATTATAAGACTGCTAATGGCAACGATTAAATACTAATAATTACAAATGGGTATCTGTTATCGTTATAACTTATTAGTGTCCATAATGTAACAATATAACAAAAAAATATTCAAGTTGGTTAAACTTAACCCAGAAGACATTTGCCGCATCTTCATGGCTAATCATAACGTGATTGGCTGGTATTTTTATTGTTGTGAGTTTTGGTGTAATATATTTTGAATTCGGTTAATTCTGATATAGCAGAAAGTAGGTAGTAAACATTATACAATTATTCGATATAAGAACTAATAAGTTCATAGATTATAGTATAATCAAAGAGAAACTTTAGTCATAAGGCATTTCATTAGGTGTGATTTCATGTTAATTTATATTCCATTACAAGTTATTAAAAGGGTTATTAATTATGTTACATTTTGAATTCACTTAATTATCTTTACATTATGTTTGTATAACGCTGCCCAACCTTTATAACATTCGGGCAATTCACAAATTTCCAAATTACTGACCTATATTAAATTATTAGGAAAGTTACACGAATTCTTGTATACATTTTGCACAAGGATGATTGAATATTTCAGTCACGGATCACACTTTGATTCGCCCTGCAGTGGAGCAGCTTTGTTTTATAAGATATTTTAAAATATTTGTGGAAGAGCTCGAGATAATGTGAGTTTAGTCGCCTCTACGGTATCGAACTAATCAAAGATTACTTACAAATCACCAGTGCTTGATTAAAGACTTCTTCATGCCTCCCCCCCCCCACCACCAACCCACAAGTAAATTCGTATTGATGTTTAAAATAACTTATTTGCATATTTAATACCACGAGATAGATCATTACGTACCCAAGAATGTGTAAGAATGTACATACATGGTGTAAAAAGCCTTACTTTTGTGCAAATTTATTTTAATGATGTTTCTGTCCCAAGATGTTGCAATACACTAAGCAATTGCTTGTGCGCTAATCGAGCATTGCAAATCACTAATTGTTTTATTGGGTATCAATTTTAGGTTATATGTATGAACAATCAACTCTTATATTAAATAAACTTGTATAACAAATATATTATTTAAAAACATAAGCAGAATTACTATAAAAATGAAAGAGAAATCACTACACTTGTGAACGAAATGTTCCCTTTTGTGAAGAAGATAAAAAATTTTTGCCTGTGGGCCCAGTTGCACACCTGCACCGCTATTATTGACAAAAAGTTAACAGTAAAATTACGGATCCCATTTTAAAAGCTTCGCGGTTCGACGACGATTAAGGAATTATTCCAAGAAATATATAAAATGTTGCGAGAATAATTATATTATATATTTATTTTAAGTGAATATATATATTAAGGTTACAAACTCTCAAATTAGAATATTTCAAGCACTAATATCGAAAGAACATCAAAATGCATGATTTATAGTTTTGGATATACTTGCTAGATTGCATTAGATCACAAATACAATACAATTTAATAGTTACAATCAACTGATTGTAGAACTCCAAAAGCCTTAAAATGTTCGCAAATCTACAGCGAGATACCAGATACTGAGAAAAAACAGAAAGAGTTATTTTATTCCCTGATTTATTTCATTCAATTGAAAAATAAGTATGCTCAAAAAGAATAACTCTACAGTCTACATATTCGTTAAATCTACGACTTAAGGACCCTGTACTTAGAAGATACAGGCAAAAATAATTTCGCCATTGCTGAGAAACAATCTCAGTTCGGTAAAGTAAATCTCGCACATTATTAAAAAATCATGAGGTAGACATAATATACAATAAACTTACGAGTCGTCATCGTCAACTTCAAAGTAATCATCGTCGTCGTCGTACTCGTCTTCAAATTCAAATTTAACTCTTGGTAAGGAGAGATCCATTTTTAGCACCAAAATTTGAAGTATTTAAAAATTATTTACACTGTACAATTATTTATAATACACTATACACAGTGATCACTTATATCATAAACTGTCGAGAATCAAATAGAGCCGTAATATAACACAATTTTTTGAGAGAGCGTAGAATAATCTGCGTATACGCATCCTTGGGGTGTAAGGGTACACTGAGCTTCGGGGACAACGGTATGCGACTCGTAGGGTGGCAAATGGAGGGGGGTGCAGGTAGCAGGGGTCGGAGCGAACCCTAAATTCTCTGTATTGTGAGCGGGGCCCATTCATGTATGGAAAAAAACCACGTGTACGCACGCTCGCGTTCATATCGTTTTTAAGTCTTTGGTAACGCTACTTCAGCGTGTAAATACTAAATATAATTTCGCTACCGAAAACATATAACATTTTAGAACCGTGTAAGTAATTTGGCAACATGTAATTTGTAACTTTAAGATTAAAAATTACGCACTGGTGATTTTTTTAAACTGTTACTTATTTTTACTATCACTGATCTATAATTTCGATGGAAATCAACTAATTTGTCACGTGTTCTAGTGCACGCGCTCATGAACGGTGGACACGGGACAGATAATCACGGTGAAAGTTACCAGTGGCGCATGAGATCCACGAGTTGAATCCTTTAAGAGAGCGCCTATAAAGTCGCTAATTTAAAATTGATCATGATAAAGAATTAATACACAAATAAATGTATGTCATACCAAGGAAACTATAGTATATATTGTATGTGATTTTATATACTTCTTAAAGCTAATCCCACTTTAAAAACCGTGGAGTGTAATTGAGAAATTTAAAGAAATTGTGATAGCTTAAAAGTTAAATTAATTAAAATATAGTTTTTGGCACCCTTTTCCGCGGTAACAAAGAAAACTAACCAATATAAACATATTTTAAATCAGATAAACAAATTTCAATATAGGTACAATGTGAATGCAAAATTAAGCAAATACACAAATAATTATACAACAAAAAACAGTCGCAATGCAAAATAAATTGTTTGATCAGCAAGTCTTCGCAATAAGACATCAATAAAATATATATGTAAGCAGTTGATCTGATAGGTAAGCATGCATATTATTTAATAATATTGCTGTTAATCTATACACAGTATAAAACAAAGTCGCTTCCGCTATCTGTACATAACATATATAAGGATAGCTCACATCGGCTATGAGATTTAAAAACCTTGAAATAGAATTAAAAATCGTATTCAGTCCGGATATATTTTCTTATATTAGTAATATATTATGTAGAATTAAGCTTAAAAAAGCAATGCAAAATACAACTTAAATATAACTTAAATTAATGCCCAATCACGTGTTTCATTCCGTGAATACTTCATACATTCTTTAATAATTCATTAATAATAATGTATTCATAACATAGCTTAATAAATTTGGATTAAACACAAATTAAAATCATTGCAAACTCGCCATGTTTATAAAAATCTCATACATTCAAATTTAATTCGTCATCGCTAAAACAGCATGTGTAAATTCGCCATTGCTAAATAATTTATATTCTTAACTCGCTGTGACTATCAATTTCGTATCAACTTTCCAGTAAGTTTAGCGCAAGCAAGTTATTTAAAAATAAGTGTATCACTTGATGCATATAATATAGTTACAACTACATCTATAATATTTATTATACTCATATAATGGAACGTCTGAGTGACCGTTCGTATGTATTGAATACCGTGTGAAACTACTGGACTTATTTTAAAAATCATTACATCTTCGAAAATCTGTAAAATAGGCGGGTGACATTGGCTGTTATGTGCGCTGTCGAAGGATAAGAACTAGTCTTCAATAATAATAAATAAATCAGTCCTGTTAACCCACCAACCTTTTGGTAGACCGAATAAATTTTCCGCTCGTTAAGCTAACCAGAAAAAATATTTTGCTAACCAGTTAAATAAAACTTCCATAAACAAAACTCAATTGAAAGATCAAATAGATTTAAAATTCTATGCATTTCTAAAGAAGAAGTTGGCACAAATACGGCATTATATTGCAAAAATATTTTTAAAATCCGTTATCGGTTTATTGCTCATTAAGATGAATGCACAGAATAGTTATTACTTTTGAAAGCAAATATTCTATTGTTTGTCGAGTTCCACGCATAAAGAGTAACTTCAAATTGTTATTTTGTTATTGTCATTATTTTATCTGGCACAAAAAATACCACGAGCTGTTCGGCATCTATAAAAGTACAGTGTTTAGTTAACAGTAATTTAAATATAATTCTGAATAAATAGAAATATAGAAGATAATTACAACATTCAAGAGTCCCAAATAATGTTTTAATTTATTATTTAGTTCTTAGAATCCCTGTAGATACAACATAACGAAATAGATTCTTATTCTGTGTCAGTAACTGTGAAATCAGAGTTGACCTGATAACTGACCTAGTTTAAATTGGAACTTCTAATTCCAAATAAATCAGTTTGCGATGCCAGTTACGGATCCCGGGTCAATCAGCTCACTGAACTACGTTTTACTAGCTACATATTGTGAATAAACTACATTCTGCCTTTCACCACGCATATTGTTTTTTAAAGTCCTCGGTAACAATGTATTTAGGTATATCTAAGAGTTCCATGAGTATAGTGAATAATCTCACTCTCATATGCTAATAAAACCATACACACATGTCATATATATGTGAACAATAAATATATTCGCCCAGTCGCAAAAATCGCTCAGCCGTAAAAAGAATTAAATGTTAAACACAAAATAAGATTGTTTGACATTCAGTTAAAAACAAAACAGAGTATCAAATAAGTATGTGGGTGTAACATACCTACATAGTGTGGTAATGATATTATAATTCAGTGTAGGTACTCGTATATATATATATATTAGCTTTCAGCACTCCTTAACCATATAAACTTTCGCTTTTGCCAAATTTCATACTCCCCTGTACTACCACTAGCCTAAATGTCCAGGAATGGGACGTGACCTACCACGCGGACTTAGTTCGGATCGGTGAGTGTTAACGTATTAGGTATGCAGATGGAGCCGAGATCAATGGCTAACGAGCCTTCCGAATCCTATGACCAACCTCGTAATTTTAGTGGAATAGGGCAGCAAATTATTGCATCAAGGATTAATGTGATGACCAACCTAGTTCGATATGTACTGCGTTGATGACAATGACGGGTACAGCTGTCACGTGTCTCTGGTACCGCTCGATTAGGTCTATTACTGTATCAATACAGTACAATTGATTGTACAAAATTGTTATCAAGGTAATCGAATATTGGTATATAAATAAGGGATCAGACAACTTTCAAAAGTGTTATAAATGACAACATTAAATTCTAAATGAGCCTTCATAATTCATATGGACTCAAAACTAAGTTTATATTTTAATCTTCTAAAAAAAGTTTCATTAACGTCATTTCATAGGATGTGATATCATTTAAAGGTAAACACGAGGACACTGTTTCAGTAATAAAACTGAATTATCGTTTGCTGTATTTTCAAATGCACAAATCTATACGTGTTTGTGTAAACTGTTGAAATAATATAGAATTTTCATACATTAAAAGTTAATATGCCATTCCTAAAAAAATATGTATAAATTCGCAATTTGCAAATAAAACAGTATGTGGATCTTGTACGGTCGCCACGACTATTTTGTGTCATATTTTCAGTAAGTACAGTCGGAATACAAGTTTTAGCGCATGCAATTTATTTAAAAGGCATATGTCGCAAATGGTTGCATTCACAATGTACTCGTATATTGTTATTTATCTTATAAAAAAAAAAACATTTGATAAATTTGTTATGATAAGATCATAATTTTTTTATTATGATAGTAAAAAATTATGATAGGATCATAATTTTTTGCATTCACAAGATTGTTGTTCATTTATGTTACAACTTTCGTATTATAAGTACAGTAGTTTCGCTATATACATATATGTCGTGACCAGATCGTAAGATTGATCAGTAGGTATCTATATCTACAATAGTAAACTACGAGTTTATAGATATAGACAAATGTTAACTTAAGACTCGAATTCACACTTTATTTCGGGGTCCTCATTGTTTTTAACGTTCGTTTAGGGTAACGTTTCGTTTGCAAAGTTCTATTAATTCGTAACCATATTCCTTACTAACGAGTAATGTATAACGAAACGCATCTAATAACTTTTTGAGTACCGCGAGTATATCTGATTTCCCAGGCCTCTGCCGAAATCGAAAAGAGCCACTTGCAGGAGCTGGTGTAGCTCAAGAGTTTACCGGTCGGCCGTTCTGTTCAAATAATAAAAAACGCTAACATTTTTACCGTTTTCATCACTATTAAGGACATCGTCACACCTTTGATATGAATGCGATAGTCTCCCATTTAGATGTCAAGAGTGTCTTTCGCAAATTGCCTACAGAGTTTTACACGAATGGTCTACATTGCAAGTGGAATAGTTAAATGTCGGTTGAATCAATTCTTATGCAGTCTCGCTTTTAGATTTAGATATTCTTAAATACGTATTATTGAAAATAAGTAATTTAATTCTGTAAAAGTTTACATTTGAGTCATATGGTGTGACCAAAGGAATTTTCCGTAATAGTGTAAAGTGAGTGAGTGTGAGTGTGAGTGTACTAACGTCGCGTCTCGGCAGCACGGTCTGGCGCAGTGCACGGGCGGAGCGGGCGGTGGCGCGGGCGGCGGGGACCGCTCCGCATCGCACGCACGACTTGGCACGACGGGCGCGCCGCAGCAGCCAGGCGCGGCGCCTGACCAGCACTTGTTCTGAACACAAACCATACAACAATACATCAAATAAGGTAAACGACAAAATATTCATATTACCTATATTACTGATAAATGCATTCATTCCTCATCTATCATAACCAATCGAAAACCAGAGCGATTTTAACAAAAAATTAAAATTGACACAATTTTAACTAACGTAGAAAATATTTATAACGTTCTCGGACACCTAACACGATAGTTTTTTTTTTTAAGTATTTTTGTATGACATTCACAATAATATCAATATTGGATTGTTAATCCGAAATTGTACAAGACTCTCGATGTTAACTTCAATCATGATCTTTAAATCACTCATTTTCAGTATCAAATAGAATTCCGTTTTGATTTTGTTTTTGTATATCAATCGATTACCCATTCACGTGGTAACATGTAAATTACATATTAATCCGCAAAGCTTGTTTACGTAAACAATTTCTGGGGTAAACAAATTAAGCAATACAAAGAGCTCGCTCTTATTACTTACGCCCGAAATAACTCTTACTTAAATAGGGCCATCTTAATAGCCATTTTTAATATCTTTACATAAGTCATATTATTTATTGTGTTCAAATAATAGGTACAAGTAATAGGTGTATTATGATTTACGTCGACTTATTTGTAAGTTGTTTGTTAAATAAACTCATCAGGTAGTTAAGTAATTAATATTACAAACATCTTAATTGTAATGGGATGCTGTTAGCTATCATTATTAAATATGTTATTACCATTCATTACATATTGTATTTACTGTGATGGCATAATAGTCAATGGTAAAGTATTAAAACGAACATTAGCTAATTAAATGCATAATAAAAATTTATAGAGAATACTATTATAAACATTTTTAGGGTTCCGTTTCTCGAAAGGAAAAAACGGAACCCTTATAGATTCAAATTGTTGTCCGTCCATCCGTATTTTTTCTCAGGAACGCGTAGAGATATCAAGCTAAAATTTATATGAAATTCTCTACGTTCCTTGGAGCCGTGAAATAATCAAATTTCTAAGCCAACGTGATCAAAAGATACGGCCGTTCATGCTGAAATATATAACTTAAAAAATACTTGTGAAAACCGTACATTTTTAGTTATATACTTACAGCGTTATAAGGAACCCTCGGTGAGCGAGACCGACTCGTACTTGTGACGCATATTTGGGACGGACTTGTAAACTTCATAACGAAAAAAAATAAGAATGAAAAGATTAAAAATATAAAAAGAATAGTAATGGTATACGACGAAAATATTGATTTAATCAACTTTCAACTTGGATATAAACTATAACTATCTCTCTTTAATAGCAAGTAGCAAGTAACAAGCTATAATTAGCAAGTAACAAGCTAATTTAAATTGCATATTAATAAATTCAGTCGATTGTAACACTGTGTCCCGTATCTGGGATACTCTATTGCAGGATTATTTCTTTTAATTTCGGAAATAAATTAAAATCGCAAGGTGCGAGGTTGGGGCTATTTCATAAAATTAATATTCTTGTCATATGGTGCCTTTCGAAGACTTATCCCACTTTGGACCATCAGAGTCACCTCTCATATTTCTTTCAGTATGAAGACCGTGTTTCATATTTCTATAACAATTACTTACCATTTTCTTTTAAAACAAAGGCACAAAACAAACTAAAAATCGGTTTGCGCCAGGGCAAACCTAACCAAAAAATTCAAACGAGTAATAGAGATTGAGTTTACAATAAACAATTAAACGTTAATATGAAACCAAAAAAAAATACATGTCAAGCTTAATCACTTACTTAAATGTCATATATCAGGAAAACAAATAAAAAATTACAATGTAATTTTTTCTACGTTGGTTTACATAAATTATTTTTTAAATAAATAACATCAATATGCGGGTTAAACCGAGGTAATAAAAACTGATCCAAAATGGCCATTACAGAGCTTATCAAAACTGTATACAAACCACCACTGATCCCACCTCACCGTACGATAACAATAGTTCTAATAGTAGCTAAATATTTTATTGTTCAGACTAGTGGACGCCCGCGACTTCGTCCGCGTGGAAGTCGGTATCCCGTGGGAGTGAGAAGTTTTCCCAGTAAAAAGTACCCTATGTGTTATTCTGATGTATAACCTATATTGCTGTAAAGTTTTATCCAAATCCGTCCAGTAGTTTTTTCGTGAAAGAGTAACAAACATCCATACATCCATACTTACAAACTTTCGCCTTTATAATATTAATAGGATGACTTTACAGTGGAATGAATTGTTTGTAACAGAATGGAGACAACGGGTATTTTTAATTTTTGTTAAAACAAGATATCTGTTATCTATTTCTTTTGTGCTATACATATAATTATGAGTAAAGGGACAGCTTATAATTTCTTCAGTAGAATGACTTTTGTAATGGTTGTAAAAATAGCGATAAGACCCAGTACCTACTAGACTGGTCCTAGAAAGATTTGTTTGTTCTAAAAATTAATTGTTTCTCTATTCGTAGAAAACATCACATACATTGCTCATATCGAACATAACGAATTATTTAGCATTTATGCTATGAAACGACGGAGATACCACAACACCTAAACCCGAGACAATATATCACCATTAATATTGATGAATCGGTAATCGAACCTGGCACCTCAGGAATGGTTTTAAGATGAAAACCGGCCGGCATGTGTTAACACGGTAGATTTGCCAATGGATTTTCTAGTGGTTTTGAAGACAGATTTAAGGGTTGGTGAGTAATAAACAAATTTTTAGAGTAAATTGGTTATAGTATGATACTGATTAGTGATAGATAATATATCGGGAAAAAATATCTTGCTGCATTAGAGCCTTACTGCATGATAATTGCAGCTGTGCCAACATGTATAAGGTCGCTTGTTTAATTTAAAACGGGTCAGGAAATGCTAAATATCAGTTTATTAATGTTTAATATAAATTATTCAGCATTCAGTCAACAGAAAAATTTAGTACTCCATACATTATTGGAACAAAAAACTTGTGTTAGTGATAAACTGATAATATCAATGAAGTGTAGAATGTTAGAACGCCGATGTGATGAATGCCCACGCACAGAGGTGGTTAACTCATATCTTTGTTTGAAAACGATAAGAGATTACACATTGCTTTTTAACTATTAAAAATAACTATTGTAAAGAAAGAACTAGTCTTATAAATTCATTGTAGGTATTTCTTGTTGAGCTGTATTCTATATAAAGCTAACACGAACATCCTTCTAACAAAGACAAAACTTATTTTATGGAATAAGTAATTTATCAATTATTTTTCTCAGAATAATGTGACAAAAACGACTCGATGTACGCATTTATCGCATTAATTATTTAGCAATTGGAAATGTGTGAAAAATATAAGCACATACATAATTATGTGTGACCTGAAAATAACGAGTCTGAAGGCGGAACTGATGTGCTCAATGAAAATTTGTCGATAGACAATTTTCCTCCATACAGCCACAATTGTTAAGCATACATATTAGATGGCCTGATTGGAATCAAATAGAGAAACAATTTGATTGCAATCAGTCCATCTAATATGTAAAAAATACTAGAACAACTGGTTAGTATCGAGTATAATTTTAACTAGTGAATAAAATATTATTGCTTATAATAAATATCTCTTGAATACATTCTACTGATATTAGATAGATAAATGCCCGTATAATTAAAGTTTGGTTATGCCAAGTTGACACACCTTATTGTTATGACCCTATTGAAAGAAAACTTAATTAACTGTACGAGTCAAAGTAAAGAGTATACAAAGATTCCGGCGCTTCACCAGCCCCAACCGAGACACGCTCGCTGCGCTCGCTTAGTCTTGCTTTGTTTTAGAATTTAATTAAAACACGAACAACACAATTTTATTTTTTGAATCCTGTAAACTGTGTTCTTAGTGCTTTATATAACTTGGATAATAGGAATAAACCTTGTTTGAAATAAGGTTTAATTTCGTTTAGTTTAGGGAGTGGTAGAACAGAATTATCTATCTAATCATCGTCATTATCTATTTAAAATTTCTAATTTAAATTTAGAAAAAATAACAATAACCAAGCTACAAAACTAGTAATATTACAAAAATATCTGATAATCTAGTTACAAAAATATTAATTCAGATCAGCTAAATTAATTATAAGTGATCGGTACAGGCAAAGCTATTTCAGGTTTGTCCAAAACATTATTAAAACACAATTTTATTGGAATAAAATGAATATTAAAAAATATCTTAAATTTTTATTTTCATATTCTAAAATCCTGACATGTATGTATATATAAGCTTTACTGATACTGATCATAACATACTACATTTCAGTTTCACAGGTACTTTTTAGTTTCCGAATAACATACACATTTGACAAATAATCTCACAGAAATTCAGTTATTTTTATTATTAAAACTTATCAAGAATACCAGTGAAACTCGACTTCAAAACGAAAACAGTAACCTAGGTCGAAAAATCATAAAGAGCGAAGCGCATGAGTATCAAGCACAAATGTCAAATGTTAAATTTACCATTTAATTTTAAGCCTTAAATTATTGTAGATAGTTGTAAATCAATCGAGGAAAGTCATATTGTGCGGGCCTTGTTTGCAGTTGTATGAATTATAAAAATTAAGCCACTATCTCACTTAAGCGCCCGTATTATGGAAATTAATAGAATCAATATAATAATTTGACATTATGCTTGACACTTACGCGTACGTAACGAGTGTCCTGAAAATCACGCGCACAGAGTGAAAGCACATCTGTGCTGTTCGTGCGTTTCAGTTTTATTGTAGCGTCGTGGAATCTGTCCCATTGCGATAGACGCTATGGACAGCTAGTAATGACGCAAAACAACAGAAAGCGTTAAATGCGATGTGTGAAATAACATGTATATAGAATATACACTGAATAACTAAGTCTACTTATATCTAGATGAAAACGAATAGGTGTACGTA